GCGAGGCTCGTTGCTCAGTGAGCTGGCTTACTGGTGTGGTTTCCGGGTCGGCGATACAGCGAGACAGCGAAACTCATCCTGAGCACACACAAACACTCACAGCCGAAGTAAAAACAATAAGTGTGGCTTGATATTGAGTAAGAAAAAGGTTTATAACGCTGTGAGCTTGGGTCTGCGGAGAGCATTTCTCCGCGATTCCAACTTAGCAGCCCGAAAAACGTTTACCCATTTAAACAGTCGTGGTAGATACCTTGTTTGTTTTTTAAACATCATAAATACACAAACAACAATGAATACTTACAGGTTGTGTACCCGAATCTGCCGCTGGTCCAAACAAAGTAGGAACAGCATCGTTCTTCAGTGCCCTACGCTGTGCATATCCGGCATGAATCGCTGAAAGCTTTGCTTCGAGAAAGGCTGGCTAAGGGTGTGGCCTCTGGGTATCCCCACGTCAGAGTACCCAGGAAGAAAGCATTGGAAAATGAGAAAACTCCAACGAGGCGTTTTGGGGAAGTATTTTTTGTGTTAGAGTTTTACTCGCTACAGGGTGTACTTTGAGGGTTTGTGACTCTGCAGACCGTTTACATGCATAAAAACCTTCATAACACACAAGGGGACGGGGAATAACCGGAAAAGCATGACATATGACCTTTAAGACATATCCGTTTGATTTTTGAGATTTCGTCAAATGCCTTTGCCATGGCAACACCTGAAACTTCCCACGTTTGCTAAGGGCCAAGTCTGGAAAACATCTGCGCGACGTCGACGTGCGGACAACAGTGGACTTGCGCGGATCGTCAAAGACCCGCTCATCGCTGCTCGCAGCTTTAATTGGTAATAAAACATTCTAATTCTGATTCCGATTGCTTCTACACTGAATCCCCCTGAAATTACATTTTGTTAACAGCGAAACACTGAAGTAATGCCTTAATATTTGATAGAGGAATTTGGGAGTTTAAGAAACGTGGGGGTGTTTCAAAAAATGTGTGCATTCGCTTTGAAACTAAAGTAATTTACCGGCTAAAAATGTCAGGCAACAGAGAATGAGAGAATCTGAGCAGCTCCAATAGTAGCTTTAAGCTTAGACCCAAAAGATAGAAAATCAAAGCAAGAGACACACACCGTAGCATGTGTAGTTCACAGCTTTAATACATTACTTTGGAAAAAACACATTGAATAATGAGAGGCACTTGATCTGCTGAATGTCTTGCTATAAATACAATAACAGTAAACAGAGCTAGTTGTGCTAATGAGTTCTTGATGAGTGAAGATCTGATGAACTCTTTAATAAACAGTGATTGAAATACATGAATATTCTTAAAACCAACAGAGCATCAGAATCTGCAGCTACTACACAGAGCTCTGGTTTCTTCTTCAGCACCATCAAAGCAAAAACACAAACAGTTACAGACCTGAGCAGCAGAGCGACAGCTGGGAATGAGTTTTACACACAACAAAGCACATGTTAAAGTTATGAAAATAATTGATTTGTTGCTGCTATAGGAAGCAGAAAATAAAGCCAAAGTATAAGTAACAAATATTGCAGTTCCTTCAATGGCCACTTTAGGCTAGCTCCATAAGCAAGTAAAGCTTCATAGAACTCTACGTTGACATACCCTGCCTTACTTAAATGTTTTTTAAGCCTGCTCCAAAAAAGGTTTGGTCTATTTGGCTATTTTCCTTGTTCATGAAAACTGCACATGGGGTGACTTTTTGTATAATTGCAAGCGAAACCCAGCAGCTAGCTTACCAGTTGACGTCATCATTGCGTTGTGCTTCTTCCGGCTAAGACTATAGCAGCTGCATATAACTGCTGCATGAAATGATTCTATAAACTACTTCTTAGTCTGCTTTAGTGGAGCGTTTTCTATAATAGCATTATAGAAAACTGCTGTAAAAAATTGTCAGAAGCTACCAATTGTCAAGTTAAGTAAAGTAGTCTGGTTCACTTCTGTTTACAAAGTTAATTAGCTAGTACTCAGTTTTGATAGTCTGCCTGTCGGTTTGTGAATTAAAGTACAACTGTTCAAATTGACAAAATAGATGAACCCCTTTTTCATTTAATAGATAATAACTTTCAATGTTTTAATGATGTGTGACCACCAAACCTGGAATTTTACGTTTTATAAATCTGGTGATTTGAGTAACAGTACAGAAGATGTTCCACTTCTCAAATGGACATTTCAAATGAGACAAAGGTTTGAGGAAACCTCTACAAAACGCAACTGCATCCACTGGACCTACTGGGGTCCGTGATGACCAAGAAACAGCATCAGAGAAAAGTTGGAGCGATCATGACTTTATGTATGTCCCAATCCAGTAAAATTATATTTATAGTTATAATTTCCTTGTTGAAATGTCCAACTTTTGACCTCAAAGCGTTCCAGGTGCACAGCGCTCAAACAAAAACTTTGTCGGAGAGATTTACCGTAACCAGACACCTAATTACATTGGCGACATATTCTGACATTATTTAAATGCAGAAGAGGTTTTTCTAGATGTAGCATCTTTTATTAAATACAGGCAATTATAAAGGCCTTTTTCCTTGATAGTTGACCATTTGAAATTGTTGTGTGACATCAGAAACTAAATTATTCATAAAGCCGGATGCAATTGCCATGATGAAGTTGTTTTGATAATGATGCCATTTGGGGTTTCTACAATTTAATTAGTAAACAAATGTGTAAAATCAGTTGAGTGGCCCTGTAGACTATTCATGGGAGAGGTGTTGTATTTTCCTAGATGGTCTCTAAAGTATTAATACACTGCAAACATCTCAATCAACACCTTCTTTTCCACACTGTATGGAGCCAGCCTTGCGAACAAGAACAAACTATAACAGGCACGTATAACTCAAACACGAAAAACAGTTTAGGGACAGCCAGAGAGTCTCTTTACTTTTGTTGTCTGCAAATATCTCCCAGGTTTAACAACTATAAGTCATAGTCTATAATGTCAATGGTTAGTTATCGTTCTGAGAATGTTTTGAGGTTCACAGGCGATCTCATTTTGAAAATAAGTGATGAATAAAACATAAAAGACAAGACCATCAATTGCCAACAACCTTCGGACTTAAGGGAATTTTCTTGGATAATGAATTCTAAAAAATATATTATAACTCAGCTCATCTATCCAAAGCTAATTAAACCAGGTCTCTCTAAAGATTAAAAACATTTTAATCAATATTTTCAGTCAGCATCATCCTCCAAAGACTCTCTTCTGCTCTGTATCACAATAGACATTTATATTTTAAATCCTACACTTGTTGTTGGACTTGTAATTGCTCTCAACATTTTGATGAATGAAATTGATGAACATTGATCCAATAATTTTTAAATCTCCCACAACCATACATATTGACTCTTCCAAAGTGGCTTTCTTACTTTAAACTGTTGAGTTAAGCTAGCACTGCATTGATGACCAAACGGAAATTCATGTGACACTCATAAGGTGCCACTTGTTGCCGTGCAACCAATAGCTCTCATCAAGTTCTCATATCTGATTTGACATGTGTTTGTAAGGCTGATGGGAATGGTATTTGTTCAGCTTCTTGCAATGAACAATGTAGCTTACGGATTCCAGTGAAGGCACACCAGAGAACCCAGGCATCATTTCCTGTTGTGCACTGGCAGATCTTTTTCTCTGACTTGTTTTTCTTTGAATTGCGCAGGTACTGATCTGTTGCCAACATTTCTTTAAAAAAAAAAAAAATCGGCTTTTATTGGCAATATTTGATAGTAGCTACTCATAGGACATATTTGGATCTGGACTGTCAGGGAAGGACTGATGCCCAAGCCCATGGACTAATAGCTTGTTCTCAAAACTTTCCATCATTGTTGTTGCTGATGGGCAGCCATGCGCACGCGATCGCGGAGTTCAAGAAATTCAGCTTGGGGGGTAGCCAAGATTTGTTTTAAATGCAGGCTACAGAAATTAAAGGTATTGAAATGGGCCGATGAGCTTTGACTTGCACCAATGGTCTTCACAATTAAAACTTCACGTAGTCTACCAGTCTATGTAGCACCCTCAACTTTGATATAGGTCACAGTAGCCATGAAACTACGTTGGAAAAGGCGGTCAGGGTCCGGAGGCTGGTTGTCACAGTCCAGCTTCCCCCTCAGGAAGTGTTTCCTGAAGCCTTGAGGACCAGCAGGGGGGGCGGTATGACTCGGCCCTGGTCCTTGTGGACTCGATGTAGTGCCTGGAAGACAGAAAACTCACATATAAACTTGTATGTGAAGAGCTTGTCAGATAAAAAAAACTACCAAAAGGACTACTATTTAAAGAACTTGCTTTATTATGAAAAGTCAACACATGGGTTCTATTGGGTGAGATGGTTACTCAATGTATAAGTAACAGAAACTAGAAAATTCAGAGACATTTTGACTGTGACTGAAACTTGGGTGCGCGTCCCGATGCTAACATTACCCTCGCTGAGCAATTATTAATAGCATTAGTTGTAATGTTAAGTACAACAAAGAATATCCATTCATTTTAGCTCACTTTTAGCTGACTTTTAACTGTTTATCTATTAAATGTTTAGATTCTTGTGACACATTCCTGCATCGTTTAGAATACCACTGGATTTAGATAACGACCGACAGGTGTTTTGAAAGATCAAAGCCTTTTTTTTTACAGCTCCTCCCCCTCTAGCCGTGATGTCACCCACTCTAAGTCTTAACCAGCTCTCCCATTCATTACTATGGGGCAAATGATGAAAACGGCTAGGCGAATCTCTTATAGAAGACATAGCAACCCAATCCCTTTCATTCCGCACGTTTTGATGTATTTGTGTGTTTCGTGTCAACGCTGTAGCATGACAACATTTGTGGCGGAAGAAGGAGAATAAGATGAGACTAGAAAATGCATTTCCTGCTGAAAATGCGTGTGAATGCTGTAAACTGTGTACATTTGTTGCTGAATTTAGCTGAAAATGCAGAAAAAGCTGAATATTTTATTAGTTGAATGGTCTCTGCAGCTGCTTTTAGCTACACAAACCAAGTAAGTGTGTTGCTGAACTTAGCGGAGAAATACAGAAAAGTTAAATTATTCTAATCAACATGGTTACAGCTCAAATGCATTGCAACGACTTTGTTAAAAACTTGAAAATGAAATGTTAAACTGGAAGAGTAGGAAAAATAGTGAAGAAGCTTAATATTTAAATGAAAAGGTTTTTAAAAAAAAAAGGTATAAACATGTATAGCCTCAATGTCCTGAAGTAGCTGAATAATGTAATAGTTGAATGGTTTCTGTAGCTGAAAGTATGCTGAAGGAGTTAGATATTAAATGTAAGTAGTAGTGAATGAATGTATATTAAGAAGAGAAAAGAAAGTAAAAAGGCTTTGAAAAGCATCAGAATATTTTAACTGCAAACTTTTCGACTAAAACCATATGTCACCAACAGTGTTGGGACTAAAGGCCCAGATACACCGGCCAGTCACCTGAGAAGTCGCCGACACCGACTGTTGCGTCGACGGACTCTCCTGCGTATTCGCCGACTTCGCGCACTGGAACACACCGCAAATCCGAGCCGAGCACGTATGAACTGCGTATGCGTGAGTGGCAATAACTCTCCTTACCAGCAGACGGCGGTAGTGTGTATTCATCATTCAAAAGAGGCAACAACCGGAACAACCAGAAGACAGAGAAGAAGAACAGACTCCGTGATATAAACAAACAACAAATAGCCTTTTCTTTCCATTTTCACTCCCTCACTTCCGTTAACGCTTCTCATGCACTGATTCGCTAGCTGAACAGCCAATCAGTGTTATCCCTTTGTCCGACTTCCGGTGGTGTTCCCGACGCCGATTCAACATGTTGAATCGGCAAGAAAACGCCCGACGGTGCGGCGCACACCACTCCGAATAGGGCGTGCCCACGCTCATGTTCGGCCCGACTCCCATCTACTGCCGATTTCGGGCCGGTGTATCTCAAAGTAACGCAACTACTTTTTGCAGTAACTAATAGCGTTACTAGTTACCTATTCCCATTAAGTAACGCCGTTATAGTTACTGTGATTTAAATGGGTGCGTTACTGCATTACATTATGTGATGGAACTGATGGAACTGAACCGAATCTCCCTGCGGATGTAATTTACAGTTGAATACAGCGATGTCCTCTCACAGCACCATGGAAAAGTGAAAGTAACCAGAGAGGAGTGATGATTGGTTAACGCGGGGTAACATTTCAGGGTAAGCCAATCAGAGACAGAGTTGGGCGGGTCTTGCCTTATTGGGAAAATACACACACGAACACTTGCTAATGCTAACACACGGCAACGCTCACCACACACACACACACACACACACACACACACACACACA